TATATATTTCTTAGAGACAAGGCCTCTACTGAACCATGAATAGCAGTACTAAAGAATGAAAATTTCGAAAGTACCTGAATGATCATGAGTTGACCATACAAGCTGTTGTTTACCATAACTCACAATATCAGAGTCATCTACAATGCCCCTTAAAATCTACGTAACTTTCCAAAAAGTCCTTTCTAAGAAACTAGATCATTGGTAGTTGTGTAGTTGTATAATGCCTACTATCTGTCAGGCACCAGAATGGAAGCTTTACATATATTATCTTGTTTAATCCTCTGAACAATCATTTAAGGTAGTTATTATTTTCCCTCCATTTATACGTAAGGAAGGAGATTAAAGTAAAGCTATTTACTTGCTCAAGACCACATAACTATTAAACTATACTAATACAATAACATAACTATAAACTATTAAACTAAAACATCCCCCCATTCTTCATCTTCAAAACTCCAAATCTCAACTTTCCACAATACCATGGTGCCTGAACTCCAAAATGTAATGATAATCATTTTAGGGAAGCTGTATAATGTAGCGGTCAGAAACATTTATGCTCTAATTCCAGTTCAACCCTCTACTAGTTGTATCACAACTGTTTAAACTCTAAAAGGTGCCTTTACCACCTGTAAAACTAGATCGCAGTGGGTTGAAAGGAAAAAAAGGTATGTAAAACAAACAGTTCACACACTGACTTGAAGAAGATGCTTGGTCTAGGGTGGCTGCTACCATTATTATTTTATCCTTTTTTGAGAAGAAACACAAAGGGCTGCAAGGTTTCCCAATTTAGCATATAACTTTTACTCCCCCCCCCCCGAGAATGTTGTCCTTCTGACAAGCTGAAGAATGATTGAAAAAATTATATCTGACTGTTAAGTATCTTCTGGCTTAACAGAACATCTTAAATTGTCCTTTAAACTAGAAATATTTCAAACACATAACCATGTCCATTGCCATACCAACATGAATGTCTGTTTTGCTGGCTGCATAATTATATCACTCTCAATTTGTATGAATGCTTTATACAGAATGATGCACTGAGGTTCTGGGGTACTTAAAAATATTTCTTCACATCAGGTGATAGGTGACAGCTATCAAATGTATTACATCTGTTTCTATTCCCTGTATTTATTTTTCCTGGTAAACCCTGTAATCTTTGATTCCTATGAACTCTTCTGAACAAAATAAAACATACTCCCCATACCCCTGGTCTCAAATCAGCCCAGGTGAGCGTTAACGACAAGCGGAAATGAGCGAGGCTGTTAATGCCAAAAGTTGAAGGTCCTAAACAACTTATTCATAAGAAAGAAAAGTTTGTTACATCCTTCTCCCTCATGACTTAAAGCTTAAATTAGGCAGGACTCAAACCCAGGGTCGGGGCAACACTAAACAGGAAAATAACTTTGCCGCTGCGCCCCAAAATCACCATCATTACTCCCTCTCTTCCTCCCTTCCCCCAGCAGTGGGGCGGAAAAAGTCGTGAAAGTGCCGCGTAGCAACAAAATCCGTGCACGCTGGCGGCGGCCGAGAGCTGGAGCCCGCCGTCCGGGGAAAGTTGTGCGCCCAGTTGCCGGTATGTGGCCCCTACTCTGCCTTCGCTCCCCTCCGGAGCCAAACGCCGCCGTCCTCCCCCACCCCGCATACCAGGAGTGCCCCGGCCACCCCCGGCCTGCAAAGTCTCCCAAGATCAGAGCCGCACGGCCACCCCGAGGGGCTCACCATCGCAGCACCGGGATTCAGGCGCCGGTGGGCAAGCCGGCCGGCTGGCGAATCCGTTATCGGAGTTCGGAATCCATTCGCGCCAACAACTTCTCCCGCGAAGAGGAAGAAGGCGAAGGCGGCGGCGCGCGGTGATGACGTCAGGAGGCGCGCTTCTTTCAGCCCCGCCCCAAGATGGGAGGTACGATGTCTGCCCAGGTGCCGCCCCGGAGCCCGGCGGGCCGCTGCCATCGCGAGGAGACACGGCACGCGGTTGGAGCGCGGGTTTGTGTGGCTGGTGTTGGTTGGGACGCTCAAGACGGGAATCCGAGATTGGTTTCCCTGGAAGGCGGGGCACCTACCAGGGAAACCTTTCATGTTCCTCCCGGTTCCGGTAGCTTTCAAAAGTTCTTGCTATGGCTGGTCCGATGGTAGTGGCTTATCAGAACTTATTAACATTAGTGTCACTAAAGTTGGTGTTCAACCCCCCGCTGCTAAATTTGACTGGCTTTTAAACAAAAAAAAAGTTCTTACTACCACCTCGCCGTAAGATAAACATTTTAGATGTACGTCTTACATATTTCATATAAATATCTATTCTGAAATAAAAGCTTCACCAAGCAGTATTTACCCTGATTTTTTTTTAATGTTTGACCACAGAATTGGTTTTTTTGCCTACTAATAAAGGAGACCCTACAGTTTGAAAACCACCAGGCTAAAGGACAATCTTTTTATTTTTTTTATTTTTTTTATTTTTTTTTTGAGGCAGGGTCTTACTGGCCGGAGTGCAGTGACACCATCATAGCTCACTGGGTCTCCAACCCCTGGGCTCAAGCAAGCCTCTGGCTTCGGTCTTCCAAGTAGCTAGGAGTACAGGCAAACGCAACCAGGCTTGGCTTTTTTTTTTTGTTCCCCAGGCTGGTCTTGAACTCCTGGCCACAAGCAATCCTGCCTGGGCCTCCCAAAGTGCTGGGATTGCAGGAGTGAGCCACCGCGGCTGGCCCACCCCATTTTAGAAATGAAAAATAGGAGGCCCCAACAAATTAAGGAGTCCAGCTTTGCTACAAGGCTAGGAATCCAGGCCTCTAAGTTCCCAAACCTGCACTGCTCTAAATCCCTGAAAGAGCAGTGGTGCTTATGAAGCCAAGGCATAAAAAGGTGCCTCTCCATTGAAAAGCAATGATACCAAAAGCTTTGGAGTAAACAAGTTTTATATTAAGAGATAAACAACTGAATTGTGAAATAGGATACAATATTTGCATACAATTTTAAGACAAAACAGGGCACCATAAAGAGTTTAATGGGAAGAGCAATAGGGCTTTGGCCCTAGGCTTTCAAATCCTCACCCACCCACGCACCCACTATTAGGTCTTGCACTTTATGACGCCAGTATCTCTACAGTGAAAAGATAGCATAGCCTTTTGGAATACATCAGAGACTAAACACTAAGAGCTTGTATTTATTAAACACCTGTTGTAACTGTACCAGGCATGCACCTATGGACTATCTATCCTAGGTTAGCTCATTTTGTCCCCACTATGACACTAACTACTATTATTATTTATCTCCAATTTTTTGTTTTTGAGACAGAGTCTCGCTTTGTCGCCCAGGCTAGAGTGAGTGCCGTGGCATCAGCCTACCTCACAGCAACCTCAAACTCCTGGGCTCAAGCAATCCTCCTGCCTCAGCCTCCAGAGTAGCTGGGACTACAGGCATGCACCACCATGCCCGACTAATATTTTCTATATATTTTTTGTTGTCCAGCTAATTTCTTTCTATTTTTAGTAGAGATGGGATCTTGCTCTTGCTCAGGCTGGTCTCGAACTCCTGCTCTCGAGCCATCCTCCCGCCTCAGCCTCCCAGAGTGCTAGGATTACAGGTGTGAGCCACCACTCCCGGCCTATTATTTCCAATTTACAAACAAGTAAAGTGTTATTCATGAACAGGGCCTCACGGCCTGGTTCCTTCTGAAGACAGGATGCTAGGTTCCCATCCCCACCACATGCTAGTTATGTGACCAATGGCAAATTACTATGCCTCAGTTTCCTTATCTGTAAAATAAGGATAATAGTACTACTTTACAGAGTTGTTATTAAACTCCTGGCATACAAGCTGGTAATAATAGTTTTGTTTTAAGTCATCTATTACTATCATTATTATTATGCAAGGCTAGGTGTTAGAAAGAGTTTCCAAAAATGAACTTATCTACTCCACAATTTTGCTCAGAGAAATAATTGATTGGGGAGGATGGGGGGGTGGTCATTACATTAGATCCTTTGAGAAATCAATAAAAACTATGAACCCACTCCCCAGAAAAGTTACATAGCATACACATCGTACAAATTTTTGTCTAAAATGTCAGAGGACCTAAACCAATTTACAGTGTTCATTGTGTTGTAAATCAATAGATAAATAAATAATAAGACATATATAAAAATGTATATATATCTTTTACATTACTTTTAGCTTCTGTATTTCTTTTTTAGCATTTTTGAAGACTTCGTTGAATTTAGGTAAGACTTGAGTTAGAAGCCTATAACTTCCAGAAAGGTACTTAATTGAATTTGTTAGATCGTTTTCCTTAGGAATATTTAGTTACTTGAAAGTACCCTATCTCAGAAATGTGCTAGATTTAAAACAGCTGCATATGCTTTGACACTTCTCCCTTGAACCTGACTAGCCTGTGACTGATTTGGCCAAAGAATACAGTGGAAGTGATGCCAATGCCAGTTCCAGACCTAAGCTTTAAGACTAGTGCTCCTACCTTGCTCTCTGGAGCCTTGAGCCCAAAGAGGGGACTGGCTGAGCCCAATCTTATAGCCATCTCCAACAAGTACCATGCATGTAAATGAAGTCATCTTGGACCCACCACCCCAGCGACTGATGGAATTCCACTACGTGATCCCAGTCAACACCTCATAGAGCAGAAAAATCACCTAATCATGGCCTGTCCAAATTTCCTGACCCACAGTAGCGTGAGCATAATGAAATGATTGCTCTTTTAAGGCAATAAACATTGGGGTGGCTTATTGTAAAGTAATAACGAGAACAGAAATATTTTAAAAGACTCAAAATATAACCAAAAAATAAGCATGAGCAGAACAATGGATAGTTTCTCTACTGTGGTGATTTTTATTGATACATTCATTCAACAAATATTTATTGAGTAAGTACTGTATGTCAGCACTTTTTATGTGCATGCTGGGTACTCATAGTAAATAAGACTGACCATCCCAGCTTCCCTAAAGTTTATATTTTTGAGAAAAATAAATAAGTCCACAAAAATAAATGATAAGGGTAAGTACTATGAAGAAAATAAAAGAGCATAATGAGATAGGATAACTGGGAGGAGGATGTGGAAGTGTTGTAAATAAGTGATCAAAAAGACCCCTAAAAAGGGGACATTGAGCTGGGACATGAATGTTGATAAGGAGACAGCAAGTATAAAGCCCCTGATATGAGAATGAATTAAACATATTCAAGGAACAGTAAGAAAGCCGGTTTTCTGACTGGTGCTCATTAACAAAAGGGCATGATAAGAGATTAGGTTGGGTGGAAGGAGTAGAGAGATTGTACAGACACTTAGGACCTAGCAAGGAGTTTTAATTTTATCTTAAGAGTGATGAGAAGGCTTTACAATAGTGGTCCCCAACCTTTTTGGCACCAGGGACTGGTTTCATGGAAAATAATTTTTCTACAGATTGCGGGGGTGGGGAGTGGGCAGGTGGAGCTCAGGTGGTGATGTGAGGTCCGGTTCCTAACAGGCCATGGACCGGTACCAGGCCTCAGCCTGGGGGTTGGGGACTGCAGCTTTACAAGATTTTAAACCAAGAGATTGCTATGATCCCATCATTCTGATACTTTGTATTTTGTGACCAAAAAGGGAAAAAAAAATAATATTACTGTGTATTTTTTGGCAAAATAGGACACCCATTTGTTTTCCATGACAGAGAAATCTTCAAAAGTGCTAAAAATATTAATAAATTTTTTTTTACTTGTCTATAGGGGAGCTGCAGAGTCTCTTATTCAGTTTGTTCCTACAGGATTTTAACCTTTACGTGGCACTATTCTATAATATAGTATCTAGTTTGAATTTGTTCCAGGCAAAAGACTAAGAAAGGCTAGAATGTGTATACCCTCCATTTCTATGTGGCCTTTTTTTGGCAATGAGAACTAAATTATAACAGGTCATAATTACTTCCATGCCCTAGTATTAATTGAAAGACTGCAATACTGCATCTCCAGGAAACTGAAGATACACAAAGAATACAACAAAATAAGGCTGCTGAGTTTTAGATAGTTTTTCAGAGTGGTACGGAAAAGTCATTTATTGATAATGTAAAACATTAGCTAACAAAGATTCCTTGCATGTTGTCTTATAAGCGTTTTGACCAAAAGTTTTTCCTCATCTTCCTTAGTCATTAGTTCAGCTCTTCTTAGCGTAGATATTTCTCGAGCCACCTGAGGAATAAATAAGACTGATAATTGATTGTAGTGTCAGGTTGGTAAAAGATAATAGGGCAATTGGATAAGCATTGCAATTTCGAGAATTAAGGGTATCTATCCCAAAGACTAAAATATTTCTTAAAATTTTTTTTCTTGTAATAATTATTTGAAACCTAACACAAGAAGACACTTTTTTGGGGGGATAGGGTCTCGCTGTGTTGCCATGACTTGTCTTGAACTCCTGGGCCTCAGCCTCCCAAGTAGCTGGCATTACAGGCATGTGCCACCATATCCAGCTAAAGAAGACACATTTTTAAGGGACCTGTTATATACTGGATCTGATTATGTGGTGCTGACTGGCCTTACCTTAATTCTTAAAACAAAGAGTTTCAGGGAAAACTTTAAGTTTATCAGCAAAGCCAATTTTGTGAAAGTTGGATCTATTTCCCTCCCCCCCTTAAGAATATATCACTAGTGGAAGAATTGTTTACATTCCATGAAGAACTCTACCCAAAAGTTAGAATTTTGACATTAACATCTTTATTAGTATGTTTCTAAGCTTGTGAGTAGTTGGATTATGTTTATAATAATTGGCTCTCTTTCCATAACATATACAGAGATAAAAATCATTGCCCTCCTGAAATGATTAAGAGGTATGTATTAGTTAGA